ATTTATTTATTTTAAATTGTTTTACAGTGCTGGCAACTGCATAAACCTATATATATATGAAGTTTATTTCAATTAAGTGGGGATCCGTTTTGATTTAGCTCTATTTTGAACCACCCATACAAGGATCTTTAACTTTCACATTGGCTCTCTGAGATTTTCACCCTTTTCCGAGAAGGCTAGGAGTTATATATACATGTATATATACTTACCAACTCAGGGGTCTGGCTGATAGGCAGCAGAGAAGGAGGCAGAAGTTGCATAAGGCTGTCGAAAAAAAAGGGGGGGTATGGGGTGGAGGCAAAGAGTGGAGACGAAAGCAGATAAAAGAACATGATATAAAGAGTAGGAAAGGAGGTGAAAGGAGAACATTTTTGAGAAGAAAATTTTCCGTCGGTGTCTGGATTCGATCCTGGGACCTTTTTAATGAGAAGCGAACACCGCAGGCTATTTAACTAGACTACGAGGCCACATAAGATCGAGTGTGGGTTCTATTTCCAAGTTTAGAGCTGAATAAAACCAGTGTAGATCTACGCTTTGGAGATTTCTACGTTTATGAAAATCCTTCAGAGAAGAGAAAGCTAACTGTGCTTTGGGGTGGGGGTGGGGAGGGGGGCTGTTTGTAAACTGTCTCGGAAGCTTTGAGCCCTATTTGTGAGTGCTCCAACTTTCGCAACTCGGAAGTCTGTGGAATTCAAGAGTAATTCAACAAGACTGCTCGAGTACTCTCAAGTGTAGGCCTACGTGTGCGCGTGTGATTGTAAGATTATAAAAATCAATCTTTCGTGTTGGCCCCGTGTGTAGGCCTAAATTTGTGTACATGTATATGTAACATGTATATTACTGTAAACTCCTTGGCTATAATATGTTGACCCAGGCCTTTGTGTGTGTTTGATTGATTGCATGTGTATGGCGTAGTATGTAGATCTAGTTGTGTGTCTGTGTGCTTCGGAGGTTTTAAATTGTAGCCACTGGATCGGAGAAAAGGGGAGGGGGGGGGAGAGAAAGTTAAAAGGAGATAGACTGATAGTTCCTGAGAGAGAACGGGAGAGAGAGAGAGAGAGAGAGAGAGAGAGAGAGAGAGAGAGAGAGAGAGAGAGAGAGAGGGGCAAAAATCAGAATGGTTCGAGCGAGAAATTAAACAAAGATAAATACATTGTGTGCAGAAATGATTAGGAACAAAAAAGAGAAAGTCATACAGTAGTCTGACATGTCTATTTTTTTCGTTGTTTTTATTTTCTACATTTTTTATGTTTAAAATCCGGAGAAAAAAAATTTGGTGCGGTACTGCATTTGCTGCTTGGCTAGCAATTTAGCAAAACAAGTATGGCGGCTTTGTTGTCAGTTCAAGATTATGGGGACTCTGATGGAAGTGATGATAGCGGTGCTGGTTCCTCAAATGAATTGAATGCCCACCTCAAGCCACTGCCGGCCGAGAGTAGTTCAGTTTCAGCAAAGTTAGCCTTAGTGGCTGCTCCTGTTGTCGTTTCAAATGTAATACTTTTGGATTTTCTTTGCCCAAATCAAAGTCAAAACGCATGGATTTCGTTTGTTGTACTTTCGATTTCCCTGTCTTTTCTTTATTATTGTTAGATTAGGCCCATCTCTATGAATGTTTGTTTGTTTTTTAATTTTATTAGACACAGAGTCTTCAAACATCTCTTGTTGTGTCTGTATTTAAATTTCTTAAAAATATTGAAAGACTCAAAAGATGGAAAGAGACATGGAAAGGGAGTCTCCTGAGTGACCTGAGCCAGGGCCTGCCACTGACCAACAACACCTTACTTAAGAAGACCTTAGATCTAGATCTAGATCTAGATCTAATCTAGATCTAGAATCTAGATCTAAATCTAGATTTCTAGATAGATCTAGATCTAGTAGTCTAGATTGACAGATTTCTAAGCCAAGTTTTTAAAGTCACCAAGTAGGCCTCCTAAGTCTGCTGCTTTACCACTTCACTAGATCTAGATCTAATACTAAGACTGAGAAGACAAAGTTTAGACTTTAGAAAGTTTAGTAGATCTAGATATAGATCTAGTAGATCTAATGTCTGAACTTATAAACTTAGTAAACTAAAATTCTAAGTCATGATTCCATTTCCAGCTTTGGCTGAACTGAGAGTGAGAGACTTTGATTGAATAAACGAAGTGGCTGGCTAGCCGTACTTAGATCTAGGTTTGGCCCTATCCTTAGCCTCTTCCTTGAATAAAAGACATTATAAAATTTTAGATCCAGATCTAGATCTAGACCTATTTGGATTTTGTTTAGAAATTTAGATCTAATCTGATCAGGTGAAGGCATCATCAGGACTGGTTTTGGATGGCTTTCACTACTATTGACATTATAGTCTATAGTATTATAATGATAGTCTATAGTATTATAATGATACATTCTTCCTTTCACTCCTGCACACTATACACTGCTTCGGGGGTCAAACTGCAGTACTGTTTGCTGCTGATCACAAAGCCACTAAAACTATCGCAAATAATTATTTTCGAGAACATTTCAAACATTCAGTAAAATATCAAATTATGGGTTAAAACAGGGGGGGGCATGCCCCCCTGTAACCCCCCAGATTTCTTTTGCCCCAAGGGGTGCCCCCCTGGAACCCTCCGATTGGTCCAAACACGCAAATTACTATGCGGTTAGGCATAGTGTGATGTAGTTCGATTAAGAACAATCAAATATTTTAAAAACTATTACTTTGTTACAGAAATGAAGTATTCGTGTTCAGCGCATCAATATTTAGTAGAAAATGGACAACTGGTAGCTGAGTTACTAAGTGTGAGACGAGAGGGGAAGTAAAAGAATACCATTATAATTTAGCAAGTACCAGCAACACACCACTACCTGCACTTCTTGACACACTTTACTTTGTACTGTTTTATATAAACTTGTATACCCATACTGAAAATGAAACCAAAGATTTATGATGAACATCTTTTTTGAATGTGAAGGTGGTGGGATTTTATGTCACTGTAACATTACTTTTCCACTTTTGGAAAAAGAAAAGATGGGCAGAGCTAGATCTAGTAATGATTAATGGCTTTTGGTTTCTGGTGATTTTTGGGGGGGTTTTTGTAAAAAAAACCCAACTGTACTAGATCTATATTCAATATCATATATTTGTCAAATGCAAAATAAAAAGGTGTATGTGTTCAAAGTAAGCAGTGTGGGATTGATGCAAGATATCGCCATTTGTCATCGTGATTTCATTGCCCTTGGAAAAGTTAGTGTTGGAAGATAATGACTGCTAAAGGTTTTGAGTGTTATTTACAGAACAGTACTTTTGATTGATGGAAGGGAGTTGGTGTATTCTTTGTGGGGGCACATTTTGATTTATTTCAGTGTTAAATCCTGCTTGATCCTTTTCAGGAAGACACAACAGGCTTGCGTCATATTGATGGGAAAACGAAGGAACTCAAGTATAATCCAAAGTTCGATGAGCTTTTTGCTCCACATGTAAGTCTGGTGGTTCTTTTTTTTAAAGCAGTTTTATGAGTTGTTTTTGTCTCAGTAGAAGGAGAACACCACACGAGATTGTCCTCCAACTACTGACTCAAGCCATTGTTGTGGAAATAATTAACTATGTCTTATGTTTATCTTTATGAGACTATCATGTTTGGTTAAATGTGCTTTGTGTTAGTCTTCTTGTTCAGTTTTCAAGAAAAATAATAGATTACTTTTGTTAGAAAGCAGGAAATGACAAGTACTGTTTGCCACCTGTTGTTTTTATTCCGTTTTGCCGTAGATACTTGATCAGTGCCATATATGTCTTGATATATGCATTTATGCTGCCGTTGTTGTTTAAATGTATAAAATGGGTGGTTGATGGTTGCTCTTATGTGTTTTACTCCTTTTTTTTTCTATCTAATGTCTATCATCCTTATCTTTCTCCTTATTTTCTTTGTTTTTCTCTCTTGAAACACTTAGTGGGTGGTTGGCGGGTGCTCTGGTGTGGTTTGCTCCTTCTTTCCTATCAAACATTTATCGTCCTGATCTCTCCTCCTTCTTTTTTATGTTAGATACTCTCTTGTAACACCTCTAATCTTCGGCACTTATATGACCTTATTGTGTTGCAAGTGCCGTAAAACTCTTACTAAAACTAAAAAACTTGAAACACTTCTAATCAGTGGCACACATATAAGGCTTATTTGTTTGCAAGTGTTGCAAGACTCTTACCAAAACTTTAAAAAACCCTAAATTCATATGTGTAAAAGTACCTAATTTTGTTTGCTATTCCCCCCAAGGTGGGACCGGTGAATCCGTACAAGACCCAGCAGGCTCAGGCTGTGCGCAACTCTCTGTCGGGTTTTGTGGAGCACGCACATTTCAACCACTTCCAGTTTGACAACCAGCGCAAGACGTTCACCAGCTACGGTACGTATGACCACTGCAAAGCTGTAGCTATGTATGTGTAAGACTATTTCTTTGTCATGTATGGCCACAGCAAAGTTGTAACTTTGTATCATGTGTATTTGTAAAACACTCAGAGCTTGTTTAATTGAGGTTGGACGATATATAAATCTCATCATGTTATTATTGGTATGATTGTTTATTATTATTATTATTATTATCATTACTACTACTATTATCATTATTATTGTTATTATTATATTATTATTTATTATTACTTAACAGTCCATCAGTATGAGGTGTTTACACAACCATGGATAACCCCAAGAGCAGAGATATTAAATGACCCATTCGAAAAAAAAAGTTGTGATTAAAAATGTTTCACACGGTCACACTGACGGCCAGAAATTGTTTATTCATGTATTTGCCATTTTGTATCTAAATTCCATGCGGAAAAAGGTCTGCAATTTGTATTTGAGTCTCATTTTCAATTCAATTTTGTCTATAACCTTATTCTTGTCAGCGAATGTCATTTGTTGTTTTTTAACATTTCTGCTGTTTTTTCTCTCAGGTTTTGCGGTGGACCCGAGCGTAGACACAGGGGGAGGTCAGCCTGAGACAATTGTCGGCAGCTCCTCAGCTGTGGAAGAAAATCAAGGTGGATAATAGATTATATCCATCTGGATCTGGCTTGCCAGCTATTTTGGATTCTGCAGTCAGGAGTTTGAGAGGATATTTCAGCCTGCTTTTTTTTTGGACGGTCCAAATTTTAAACTCCTTTTCTGGTGTTTGCCAGCTGTTTCTGTTTGTACAAATGAAGTGAACATCCACGTCTGAAAAGCACATAATTTCCTTTCGATTATTTTCAACTTGGCCTATGTTTAGCTTGATGTCACTGTGACTTTGACCTCATGTCACATACACACGACACCAAAACCAGTCCCAGTTAATGTGATTTTGTTTGTGGTTATGTCATCAAGTGTTATTATATTGGGTGTCCCTGATTAGGTTTTGTTAAACTTTGCAGACCTGAGTTGGGTAGAATAATTGACTTTGTTCCTCATTTCTTTTCTCTTATTTTTTTTTTTTGGGGGGGGGGGGGGGGGTTTTTTTTTTTTTTTTTTGGGGGGGGGGGGGGGGCTGTTTTGTTCTTTTGTTTTGAGGTGACCATGATTCTCTGGCTTTGTATTTTATTTTTTTCAAGAACTCAGGACAGGAATTGTTTGTTGTGTGCAGCAGATGTTCCTGACTAGTGGGCAGTGTGATGATCTGTTACTTCTGTATATACGTCGTAACTATGCTGTTATTCTTGTCTCTTTTCATTGAGATAATTCTTTAAGTGGTTGGTGGGTGCTCTAGTGTGATGTGCTCCCCCTTTCCCATCAAACATCTTTCGTCCTTATTTCTCCTTTTCTTTTTTGTATTTGTTACTCTCTTGTAACACCTCTAATCTTTGGCTTTTTTATGACCTATTTGTGTTGCAAGTGCTGTAAAACGCTACCTTAAGCTGAAATGGGGTCTTTTATAGACTGACTCGCTGAAAGCTACTCTTTGACAACCTGTGTATATATGCATGTGTTCGTTTGTGTACTCGTTTTGTAATTATTTTCTATTTATATATCTGTGGATTGTTGCAGGGTCAGAGGAGTTGGTGGGTGGTTGGCGGGTGCTCTGGTGTGGTTTGCTCCTTCTTTCCTATCAAACGCCTATCGTTTTATCTCCCCTCCTTCTATTTTGTGTTTGTTACTCTCTTGTAACACCTCTAATCTTGAGCACTTATATGACCTTGATGTGTTACAAGTGCCGTAAAACTCTTACAGAAAAAAAAAAGGAGTTGGATTGTTCATAGGTGTTTTTTTTTTGTAACCTTGTTTTTGTTTTTGATTCCAGGCAGATCAGTTTTTGAAAACAACCCAGAACAAGACAAAGCCAAGAAAAGGAAGAGACATAAAAACTGCGACGCGTCGGATGTTGATGGTTACCTGGGACCGTGGGCTAAGTATGAGGACGAAGAGACAGTGTCCAGACCTAGTGAGGTGAGCCATCAAGTTCTTTGGGCTTTTGTTTTCTTCTTTTTTCATCAAAATTGCTCACTATTGAAAGAAAATTGTGGGTGGTTTGCGGGTGCTGTGATGTAGTTTACTCCTTCTTTCCTATCAAACATCTATTGTTCTTATCTCTCCTCCTCCTTTTCTCTGTATGTTACTCTTTAGCAAAACCTCCAATCTTCGGCTCTTATATGACCTATTTCTGTTGCAAGAAGTTAAAACTTTTACTAAATCTATCCAAAAAGAAAATTTAGTTTTTAAAATTGTAAATGTTGGTGACATTTATGCTTCCTCTCACTCATTTCTTTTGCCCTGTTTGTTTTTGTGTTATGTTTTGTTTTGCTAATTTTATGCCTTTAGATCTGCACATTTACTTAAAATTAGAATTGATCAGTTAAAATTAGCATTCATTAATAAAAATGATCCTTGCAAAGATGATTTGTTTATGTATATTCAGTCAGACGTGCGACAAACCAGCAATTTTGTGGATATTTTGCTTGTGGAATATGTGTTTTGAGGTTCAGTTTTTCCTAGTATCATCAAGTGCCAGATCTGCCACAGACATCAGAGAACATGGTTCGCCTTTCATTCCTTCGCTTGAATGCTCTCTAAAAAGCTGTATATTATTCTTTTGATCTTTCCCCGTCTCCCATCTGTTTAGGCTTTCCGTGTAAGTTGCTCTAGGTCTGTTCTTATAGTCCGCGTAATTCACTGGTGCTTTGCGTTGAACGGACCGACGCCTGTGGTGTTGCATGCAGGAAAGCTGAGTTCAATTCTCTAGTGGAGAGAAATTTTTTTTGAGTTTCTCCGTCTTTCTGATGGGATTTCGTATCCTTGACAAGCACAGGGTTGGAAGCCGGTCTCCTATAAATGATCTAGAGTGTGTCGGATAGGGAGTAAAAACACTTACATGTGGGTGGTTGGCGGATGCTCTGGTGTGGTTTGCTTCTTCTTTCCTATTTAACATCTATCGCCCTGATCTCCCCTCCCTTCGTTTTTGTGTTTGTTACTCTCTTGTAACACCTCTAATATTCGGTGGGTGGTTGGTGGGTGCTCTGGTGTGGTTTGCTTCTTCTCTCCTATCAAACATCTATCGTCCTGATCTCCCCTTCATCTTTTTTATGTTTGTTACTCTCTTGTAACAGCTCTAATCATCTGGCGCTCATATGACCTTATGCAGTTGCGAGCGCCGTAAAACCTCTACTAAAACTAAACTCTAATATTCGGCACTTATATGACCTTATTGTGTTGCAAGTGCGGATAAACACTTACTAAAACTAAAAGAACACTTACATTAAAAGAACCCCTAAACTCAATTTAATTTGTGGTGAACAGGAGGAGCAGAAAGACCTGGACGAGATCCTGGCGAAGAGAAGCAAGTCGGGCAAGCAGGTGGACGAGAAGACGGTGGAAGAAAAGACGACACTACACAGTAAGACACAACTCCCTCACTTTGTGGCTCTGTGACTGACACAATTTGGTGTCATAGTTTTATGTTTATACATGTCATCATTGCTCTCTGTTGACACAAGTCATAGCTCTCTGTTGACACGAGTCATAGCTCTCTGTTGACACAAGTCATAGCTCTCTGTTGACACAAGTCATAGCTCTCTGTTGACACAAGTCATAGCTCTCTGTTGACACAAGTCATAGCTTTCTGTTGACACGTGTCATAGCTTTCTGTTGACACAAGTCATAGCTTTCTGTTGACACGTGTCAACAAGATGCTTATGCTTGTCATAGAAAGCAATCTATACATTGTCAAATTCCCTTTTCTTTTTAAATCAAAGACAATACAGTTGTCAAGGAAGTTTATATAAAGCTAAGCATTGTGAAATTTCCCTTTTTTCCAGTCAAAGACGCTTAATGTTGTCAAAACAGTCAAAGATATATGCTGTATTCTAAGCATTGTCAAATCCCTTCCCCCCCCCCGTCAAAGACGTCGTTTACTGTTGTCAAAGAAAGTATTCTAAGCATTGTCAAATCCCTTTTCTCCCCCAGTCAAAGACGTCGTTTACTGTTGTCAAGGAAAGTATTCTAAGAATTGTCAAATCCCTTCTCCCCCCCCCAGTCAAAGACGTTTACTGTTGTCAAAGAAAGTATTCTAAGCATTGTCAAATCCCCCCCCAGTCAAAGATACATACAGTTGTCAAGGAAAGTATTCTAAGCATTGTCAAATCCCTTCTCCCCCCCTCAGTCAAAGACGCTTATGATTACCACAGAAAGTATTCAAAGCACTGTCATATTCCATTTTTTTCCCCAGTCAAAGACGCCTACGACTACCAAGGCCGATCGTTTCTTCACCCGCCCCAGGACGTCGGGGTGAACCTAAAGTCAGAGGAGCCGCCAGAGAAATGTTTCTTGCCCAAGAAGCTAATCCACACGTGGTCGGGCCACTCCAAGGGAATCGCGGCCATCCGCTGGTTCCCCAAGTACGCCCATCTCCTGCTGTCCGCCGGCATGGACTGTAAGATCAAGGTAGGTCCTTCGACCAGAGGTGTTGTTAGTTTGGTAGTCTGGCTGGTGTAGTTATAGGGTCACGACGTGTGGAATCAGGCGCTCATGAATTTTTGGACATGTGGGGTTATTGGTATCATCTTAAAGCCCGTTCATTTGCCTTCCTTTTGGTGAAAAAAATATCCATTTACATTGAATAGAAGTCGAAATATTTGCAATTGAAGGAGGTCAGGGTCGGCTTGTTTCAGAGGTAACATTTACGAGAAAATGGCTGCCAAAGTTTGGTAACTTCCATTGCCTAAGAGTCCCCGGAAACTGAAAATTTACACATTTTGTTCCTAATGTTTTTCTGGAAAATCCACACAAAAAATATGTTTTTAAATGATCATAAAAGGTGTTGAGCCAAAAAAAAGAAAATAAGAAAAAAAATTGCTCATCAGCCAAAAAAAATGCAGATTTTTTATGATTTCTTTTTTTTTTGACGAGCGCCTGATTTCACCACGATGCCTCACGTATAAGATTTCACCACGATGCCTCACGTATAAGATTTCACCACGATGCCTCACGTATAAGATTTCACCACGATGCCTCACGTATAAGATTTCACCACGATGCCTCACGTATAAGATTTCACCACAATGCCTCACGTATAAGATTTCACCACGATGCCTCACGTATAAGATTTCACCACGATGCCTCACGTATAAGATTTCACCACAATGCCTCACGTATAAGATTTCACCACGATGCCTCACGTATAAGATTTCACCACGATGCCTCACGTATATATACATTTAGTTTGGTAGTGTGGATGGTGTAGTTATAGAAAGATGTTGTTAGATAGGTAGTCTGACTGGTATGGTTATAGAAAGATGTTGTTAGATAGGTAGTCTGACTGTTCCAGTTATATAAACATGTCGTTAGTTTGGTAGTCTGACTGGTATAGTTATAGAAAGATGTCGTTAGTTTGGTAGTCTGACTGGTATAGTTATAGAAAGATGTCGTTAGTTTGGTAGTCTGACTGGTATGGTATAGAAAGATGTCGTTAGTTTGGTAGTCTGACTGGTATGGTATAGAAAGATGTCGTTAGTTTGGTAGTCTGACTGGTATGGTATAGAAAGATGTCGTTAGTTTGGTAGTCTGACTGGTATGGTATAGAAAGATGTCGTTAGTTTGGTAGTCTGACTGGTATGGTATAGAAAGATGTCGTTAGTTTGGTAGTCTGACTGGTATGGTATAGAAAGATGTCGTTAGTTTGGTAGTCTGACTGGTATGGTATAGAAAGATATCGTTAGTTTGGTAGTCTGACTGGTGTAGTTATATAAAGATGTCGTTAGTTTGGTAGTCTGACTGGCATGGTATAGAAAGATGTCGTTAGTTTGGTAGTCTGACTGGTGTAGTTATATAAAGATGTCGTTAGTTTGGTAGTCTGACTGGTGTAGTTATATAAAGATGTCGTTAGTTTGGTAGTCTGACTGGTGTAGTTATATAAAGATGTCGTTAGTTTGGTAGTCTGACTGGTATGGTACAGAAAGATGTCGTTAATTTTGTAGTCTGACTGGTATGGTTATAAAACATGTTGTTAGTTTGGTAGTCTGACTGGTGTAGTTCTATTATCCTGTTGTTCCCGGTCACATCCCACTGCTAGTCTGGTATCTGTCATATACTGGGCTGTCCTGCTCAGTTTCTCTGTCGGCCCGTACAGCTGTTCCTGCCGTGTTAATGTGGTTGGCCACCGACATTTCCTACATTTAAGAAGAAAAGAAAATTTGTTCAGAAAGGGAAAGAAATGTTAACATTCTTACTTGACTTGAGAAAAAGTTGTCAGTTGTCTTCACTTATGTCTTCCCCCCCCCCCCCCCCCCAGGCCAAGATTAAGAAAAAAGTTGTTAGATGTCTTCATTTATGTTTGTTTTCTTCTTTCTATCGACCCTGCCCAGATTTGGGAAGTGTACAGAGACCGTCGATGTGTGCGGACGTACGTGGGTCACAAGCAAGCTGTCCGCGACGTCTGCTTCAACAACAGCGGCACCGAGTTCCTCAGCTGTGGCTACGACAGATACTGCAAGCTGTGGGACACAGAGACAGGTCAGTGCGGGCACGAGTTACTCCCTCGTCATGTCTGTTCTGAAAGAATATGTGTCGAGAGACGGTAGAATCAGGCGCTCGTCAATTTTGTGGCATAAGGAGTTTTTGGTGTACTCTTAAAGCCTGTTTATTTTTCTTTCTTTTGATGAAAAAAGTGCCTGTCTATTTGGTTTCAGAGGTAAAATTAGCGAGAAACTGACCACCAAAGTTTGTTGATTTCCAAAGTTTGAGTGTGCCTTAAAACTGCACATTTACATTTTTTGTGGGTTTCATCAACATTTTTCAGTAAAATGTATGCAGGAATTTTTTAATGGATATAAACGGTATTGAGCCAAAAATTTTTTAAAATTCAATAAAAATTGCCCAATGGATGAAAAAAATGCCTTTTTCTTCGATTTAATTATTTTGACGAGCAAATGATTCCACCACGTTACGTCACATACATGTTTTTCCCAGTTTCTGTAGCGTGAAGTGGATTGCAGAGGTGGTGAGAGGCGAGGGAGGAGAGGGAGGTATGGTAGTTCATCAGGTGATTCTGTGGCGTCGGTGGCCTAGTGGTTAGGCTCTCGGACTCGCAACCGTATGGTCCTGGGTTCGAATCCCGTCAGGGGCCTGACGTTGTGTCCTTGGGAAAGGCACTTTACACGATTTTTCCTCACTTCACCCAGGTGGGAATGGTTACCCGACGATAGACAGCGAAAGATCTTGTCAGTATGTTAGTGTTTGAGCGCTTAATCAGCTGCTTGCACTGTATGCTTCCTGGGAAGCTGAGAATGTTTCGGAGTGTTCTATGGTCTGCTGGGATAATAATATAGTGTAAAGCGCATAGAGCTTGCTGTTGAGCGGGGATATGCGCTATACAAATGCTATTTATTATTATTATTATTTGTGTGATGGTGTAGGACAGGTTTTTGGGCCTGTTGGCTGACAGAATAAAGCGGTTGCATTGGACAAGGGGTTGTCTTGGACAGTGTCATTAAAATTTTATTGAAAAAAACACAAGTGGGGCAACTTGGAAATTGTCATTTGTACCGGTAATTGTCTTGGACGGGTGGCCGCAAGGACAGGTTCGACTGTATCAGCAAAAATTTATGACAGAAAATATAAAGATGGCAGTGAAAAGCAACAATGACTGGCAGTATGGCACTTATCTGTACAGAACCCGCTAAAAGTAAAGTATAGCCGCCGCGACCCCCCGCCCCCACCAATAAAGCACATCATGACGGTTACGGTCAGCTGTCTCCTGTTCCTAACAGATTGCGACCCCTGTGCTTTCTTGTCGTATCTCCATTTTTAATAACAGTGAAAACAGTTCATAAGAAAGGGTGAGCTTAAGAAGATGTCACATTTTCACTATTTAAAAAAATGGAGATATGACACGAAAGCAGTAAGGTCTCGAGATGTTGCACTGACCCCTGTGTGACCCTGGATGTCATACACTAGGTCAAACAATGTGTTGTCCATGTCCTCATGTTGTGTTGTCCGTGTGTCCTCATGTTGTGTTGTCCATGTCCTCATGTTGTGTTGTCCATGTCCTCATGTTGTGTTGTCCATGTCCTCATGTTGTGTTGTCCATGTCCTCATGTTGTGTTGTCCATGTCCTCATGTTGTGTTGTCCATGTCCTCATGTTGTGTTGTCCATGTCCTCATGTTGTGTTGTCCATGTCCTCATGTTGTGTTGTCCGTGTCCCCCCACAGGAGAGTGCAAGGAGCGGTTCACCAGCAGGAAGGTCCCCTACTGCGTCAAGTTTCACCCGGAGGAAGACAAACAGCACCTCTTTGTCGCTGGCACCTCGGACAAGAAGATTGTTTGTGTGAGTCGATGACGCTGAGTGAATGCTTGTTGGCTGGCTGGGTGGGTGGTGATGGTGTCTGGTCTGTTTGTGTGAGTAGATGACGCTGAGTGAATGCTTGTTGGCTGGCTGGGTGGGTGGTGATGGTGTCTGGTCTGTTTGTGTGAGTAGATGACGCTGAGTGAATGCTTGTTGGCTGGCTGGGTGGGTGGTGATGGTGTCTGGTCTGTTTGTGTGAGTAGATCTCGCTGAGCAAACGCTGGCTGGGTGGGTGGTGGTGCTGGTGGTGTCTCATTTGTCTGCATGGTTTTAAACACTTGTTTTATTTTCTGTTTGATAACTTTGTTTTTGGTGTTTTCATGTCCTGTGTGGGGACTGAAAAAAAGGGGGGGGGGATTGTGTCAGTGTTTTGGGGATTTGGGTTTGAATTTTTTCTTGTTGAAAGTTGTTGTCTGTGTTTGTCAGTGGAAAACAAAAATATGCAGGTCAACCTCAGGGTAGTGGGTGGTTGGTGGGTGTTCTGGTGTGGTTTGCTCCTTCTTTCCTATCAAATCCAACATCTATCATCTTTATCTCTCCTCCTTCCTTTTTTGTGCCTGTTACTCCCTTGCAACACCTCTAATCTTCGGCACCTATATGACCTTATTGTGCTGCAAGTGCCGTAAAAATGCATACTAAAACAAAAGTGATGATGTTGAATGCATTAACGACGTCGTTTTCTCCTCTCTCTCCCGCAGTGGGACATTCGCTCTGGGGAGATAATCCAGGAGTATGATCGTCATCTGGGCCCCGTCAACTCGATCACGTTCATTGACCAGAACCGAAGATTTGTGTCCACGTCTGACGACAAGAGTCTCCGCGTCTGGGAGTGGTAGGTTTCATTTTTGTGACTGAGGAGATCAGATAGGAAAGATAGAACAGATAGGACAGATAGTACAGTTGATACTTCTTGCCCAATGGTGGGGAAATGTCGATTTCTTCAATTTCATTATTTTGATGAGCGTCTGATTTCACTCCGAGGCCAAAAACGTAATGAGATGCGTAAATTTTGAGTATGTGCTCATGCATTTCCAGGTGATTGGAAAAGTTTGGGATTTTTGTTTGTAGGCAGTTGGCACCTCTGGTTCTGCCATCTGTGAATTAGTCGAGCCTTACTCACTGTGTTGAAATGAGAATTACAAGCATGTCATGCCATAGTTTGGCTGTAGGGCATATATTCAACAATATATGGTCGCCTGAGAACTATTTTATCCAAAGTGTACTGAAGTAAAGAGGCACTTTGAACAAAGTAGTTCTTAGGCGATGATATGCAGGTCTGGTTTTTTAGTTTTATAGAGGTTTTACGGCTCTCGCAACTGCATAAGGTCATATGAGCGCCAGAAGAATGGAAGTGTTACAAGAGAGTAACAAACTTAAAAAAGAAGAAGGGGAGATAAGGACAATAGATGTTTGATAGGAAAGAAGAAGCAAACCACACCAGAGCTCCTGCCAACCGCCCACATATGCAGGTCTGGTTTTTATTTGGGGGGGGTTGGAGTTGTGTTGTTGATGGCTTTGTTTCCATTTCACAGCATGATAAGGTTTTATAAATGAAGACAACTCATTGTCAAGGTTCTGTACACTTTATGAAACTGTTTGAAGCTTGTTTATGTTGGGATTTGTCAACAGCTACAGCCCAGTGTGGTGTTGTGCTCAGATTCTTGTTGAAGAATCAGATCTGCTTCTAATTAACTTTGTACAGTTGCAGATTGGCTGATAGATTTTGGTGATTCGACTTTCTTTTTCTTTTAAAAATTTAAAAATCTTTTTTTTTCTTCCTTAGGTACATGCCCCTTTTTCGGGTACTGTGTAAATGATCTTATTTGTATTAGGCAATCTTCAACTACGAGAATGGGAGGGAGTTCAGTGATATTATAGCACTGAGATGTTTTTATAGAAAGACAACAAGATGAGCAGTTACAATGATATGTTTGGATGTAATTGATGTGTTTTGTCTTGTCATTTGCCAGGGATGTCCCGGTGGATTTCAAGTACATCGCTGACCCGTCCATGCACTCGATGCCGGCTGTCACCCTCTCACCCAACGGTAAGTTGGTCGCTTTTTCTGCTGACTCTTTTTCGGTAGTGGTTGTCATCCTTTTTTTCCCCGGGACGAATCTGATCGAACTCTATCAAAAGGACATCATCTGATTAGTAGAACATTTTGTGTGTGATGTGTGGGCTGTCGTCAATGCAAGGTTATGATGAGGTTAGTTTTGTGGATGGTAGACTGTGCTGTGTTACTTTCTGTAGTTATATTGTTATATGTCAGTCTCTCCACGAAGACTATAGGCTATAGGTCCTACTTGGTTTATTTCCTTTTGTTGTTCTAGTGTGTCTGTCTTGCTCTTTCCCTGCATTTCATCAAATGGACGTGCTTCTCTTTGCTCCAAAATGAGAACGTTGCTGTGTAGGTGGTGTATGTGTGTGGGGAGGATATTTTGTGGAGTATTTCTCTCTTTCTCAGAAAGTTTCTGTCTAGATTAAGGAGCAAGTAGCTGCATTTGGCTCGTTCCGATCAGAGACGGACGGTACATTCGGAGGTCCTGCCTCATAAAGTAAGAACCTTAAAGTGTTGATAGGGGTGTAATACTCATACACTGACATACTTTTGTGTTCCCCAGGCAAGTGGCTGGCGTGTCAGTCCATGGACAACAAGATCTGTGTGTTCAATGCGCTCAACAGGATGAAGTTCATCAGGAAGAAAACCTTCACTGGACATATGGTGAGGGCCGCCTTTTTCCGCGCTCAATGTTTTAGGAAACCAACTATGGTGTACATACAAATGTGTCTTGTCTGGAAGCTGAGATGTATGTCTGTGGTTATAGAAGTAAATAAATAAGAAGAAAGAAAGAAAGTACGTTTGTGAGGCGTGCCGACAGAATGAGTTACTTCTCAGATTTTTGCCTTATAATGGAAACTGATACATCAACTTTATGGGCGGGGTTTGTACAAGTTGTAAGTGTGGAAGAATAAAAGACAGGGCAGACTGGAAGAAATCGGCGTCAATTGAAAATCTATAAAACTGACCCCAGTGTCGATTTTCAGCCAATATCACCGTTCTTAGATTGCGAGAAGTAACTCATTTTATCTGCACGCCTCACATTTGATTAATCCCAGGTGGGGAAGTTTGAGTGACAAAAGACAGAAAAGTAAGAACTTAGTCAAAATGCATGCCCAGTAAGTTCCATCTGTTGTTTGGTGTCAATTTTGTCCCATCATTTGTAATGTTCGGTGATATTTTACCTACGTGACAGTATGTAGTGGAGCTTGTAACTGTCTCGTACAACGTGCCATGCGTCATACAATTAAAATATTATAGTGTAAAGCGCATAGAGCCTGCTGTTGAGCGGGGGTATGCGCTATACAAATGCTATTTATTATTATTATTATTAAAAGGTCAAAGACATTGAAATCATCTTTGTGAATTAATAACTTTTTTTTTTACAGAAAATAATTTTTGTTCTTATTGATTCTGATTGAAAGTGGGTGGTTGGAGGGTCCACCAGTAGTTTCTACTCCTTTGCCTTCCCTCTTTTGTTTCTGCTGGTCACTTTTGCTTTTTGTGGGTGGTTGGCTGGTGCTCTGGTGTGGTTTGCTTCTTTTTTCCTTTCAAACGTAGATCTATCATCCTTCTTTTTATCTCCCCTCCTTCTTTTTTATGTTTGTTACTCTCTTGTAACACCCCTAATCTTCTGGCGCTCATATGACCTTATGCAGTTGCGAGCGCCGTAAAACCTCTACTAAAACAAAAACTTTTGCTTTTTCCTAACATTAAATGACAGTTATTGTGTCTATGTGCTTCTCTTTGATGACGTTCAGTCTTTGATGACGTTCAGTCTTTGATGACGTCCAGTCTTTGATGACGTTCAGTCTTTGATGACGTTCAGTCTTTGATGACGTCCAGTCTTTGATGACGTTCAGTCTTTGATGACGTTCAGTCTTTGATGACGTTCAGTCTTTGATGACGTTCAGTCTTTGATGACGTTCAGTCTTTGATGAGTTGTTGTGCAACTGATGTCTCATTTTGTTTTTCACTTTTCCAGGTGGCTGGGTATGCCTGCGGGATCGACTTTTCACCTGAGATGAGGTACCGTATGCCGTTTTCTCTAAGCTACGAGTGTCTGGTCTTGTTACAAAGAAGTGTCGTCTTATCCTGGGTGAAATAGGGTCTTGTCGTGTGTGCTCAGATCACATAGCTGACGACCTGGACTCGTCTTATCCTGGGTGAAATAGGGTCTTGTCAGGTGTGCTCAGATCACATAGCTGACGACCTGGACATAAAAAACGTATTTTGAGGGTCTGAGTTGGGAAGTCTGTTTTGTTTTGGAAAAAACTATTTTTTGCAGTTGTAGTCTTGCTCCTCGTGGACTTGCCGATGCTGAACAAAAAAAAACGATTAACTTTCAATGAGAGCGGATTTGCAAATAGTAATGAGAAGGAAGCCCATTAGTCCACGGGAGAGTAAGTACTTTTGCAGTGCCACTGACTGAAGTGTCTTTAGGCCATTCTCAAAGGGGGGGGGGGGGGGGGACATTTCTCGTTCAAGCACAGTAGAATTGTAAATGGGCTGACTCATGTCACGCTCATAACTGCCTGATCTACAACAGGGAACTGTTGCTTTTTCTTTCCCTATCCTTACTATCGTCATTTTCCCTCTAGTTCTTTTGTATGTTTTTCACTCTCTTGTGACCCGCTATTTCCGGGGTGCCTTGATAGTTGAAGCAGACCTTGGACTGTTGAAGCTAGAGAGGTGAGCAGAGTAAGCCTGATTCCCTGTATGGACTTCTCTGTTGACACCCACCCCTTGGCGCTCATATGACCTTATGCAGTTGCGAGCGCCGTAAAACCTCTACTATAAAAAAAAACAAAGTCTTGCTCCTTGTGGACTTGCCGATGCTGAACAAAAAAAGATGAACTTTCAATAAGAGCGGATTTGCAAATAATATTGAGAAGGAAGCCCATTAGTCCACGGGAGACTTTTGCCTCAGGTCGACTTTGTTGAAAAGCTGGAATTTATTGAATGCAGAAAAGTGAACGTGAAGAGTTTGGAGGGGGGGTTTACTCCCGCTACATGGGTTTTTGTTTTGAAAACCTGGCAGCTGTGTAGTCCAAATATCGCGACTATTTATTTCACCTTTACTCCAGTCATAAGGTTCAATTTTTTTTAAAAAGCGTTTTACTTCAACGAGAAAAATTAATGACCTCAGCAATACTCTTGACCCCTTTTTTCCCCCAAAGTCTACTTTCGTGTCATGAGCTGACAAACGTGTTTGTTTATTTGTGTGTTTGTGTGTTTGTGGTTTCAGCTACATCTCGTGCGGCGACGCGGACGGCAAGGTTTACATCTGGGACTGGCGCAGCACCAAGCTCTACTCCAAGTTCAAGGCCCACGACGACGTCTGCATCGACGTGCTGTGGCACCCACACGAGACTTCCAAGATGGCCACCGCGGGCTGGGACGGCGTCATCAAATACTGGGACTGAGGAGTTACGACAGATGGGACTGAGGAGTTACTGACAGATGGGACTGAGGAGTTACTGACGGATGGGACTGAGGAGTTACTGACGGATGGGGCTGAGGAGCTACTGACAGATGGGACTGAGGAGTTACTGACAGATGGGGCTGAGGAGTTACTGACAGATGGGACTGAGGAGTTACTGACAGATGGGACTGAGGAGTTACTGACAGATGGGACTTAGGAGTTACTGACAGATGGGAGGACAGAATTGTGGAGAAGAATTTTTTTCAACTATCATTGGTGGCGAAAAAGGGATGAGAATGTGTGTGTGACTTGTACAGTTGAATGGCAGCATGTGTGTATGTGTATGTGTTCTGTATCAGATGCTTTGATGAATTTTAATACAACTGTAACAACTCATGTTTCAAAAAGATTGGCGTTCGTCTTTTTTTTGTGATCTGGGTTTACTGATTTCACATAGCTCTATGTGCAATGTGTTCGAATTATTGTTTGAAAAAAGAACAACCTCGGAGCTTTTTTTAAAGAATGTTTTTATGCCTCCATTGACACAACTTAGATCTTTTAGGAGATGGGCTTCGACCCTGCCTGTCGAGACAAACCCGGACTAAGAGGGGTAATAAATCCTTGCAGAAATACAAAGATACTCAATAAAAATTCTCCCCACTGAGGAATGGAACTCTGGTCTCCCTCGTGTGATGACGAAGCTGCACCTCTGACACTGTTGTTTTGTTGCTGGCAACGCATTCATTGTCCTTTTTTATTGCTGTTTTACTCTGCTTGCAACTGCACAGGGCAAGGTGTATGAGCGCAAGGTCGTATGAGGGCAAGGTGTATGAGCGCGAGGTCGTATGAGGGCAAGGTGTATGAGCGCAAGGTCGTATGAGCGCAAGGCTGTATGAGCGCAAGGTCGTATGAGCGCAAGGGACACATTAAACATTTTCAGTTCGGTAGGAATCAATTTTGAAATTTGCACGGGTGGCGGCTGGAGCCTACTCTTGCTGATTTTGGATCACCAACTTGCACACCGAACCTCCGAGATTTTCACCCTTATCCGAGAAGGCTAGGTGTTGGATCTTACCTATCAGAAGATCAGGGGTGTGGCTGAAAGACAGCAGTACATAATGTAAGAAGGAGCCAAGGAGTAGCAGTAGAAAGGCTGCAGAAAGAGTCGGGAGCCCAGAGAACGGGGCAAAGGAGGCGAGGGGGGGGGGGGGGCAGAGAGTGGAGACGAAAGCAGACAATAAGATATGGTTAGTAGAGAGCAGGAAAGGAGAAAATTATAGAGAAGATAATTTTCCCCCATCGCTATCAGGTTTCGAACCCGGGACCTATTGAATGAGAGGTGAACACCTTAACCCCTTGACCATGAGAGCCCCCCGTTTTCAGTTTGATGAGAAGACTTGCTAAAGCTAAAAACTATTCATGCACTCATTCTGAGGGTGGTTGGCGGGTGCTCTGGTTTGATTTGCTCCTTTTTCCTATCACACATCTGTCGTTCTCATTTCTGCTCCTGCTTTAAAAAAAATTTTATTCTCTGATAACACCTCTGGTCTTCTGCACTAACATGACCTAATTGTGTTGCAAGTGCAGTAAAACTTACTAAAACTACATCTCGTCCTCATTTACTACGGAGTCAGGGTGTGAAAAAACCCAAGACACTCTCAGGCTTACAGTTGTCCCCAGATGGTGACTGCTTGCACTCTAGTAACGCCTCTGATTTTCGTCACTTATATGACCTTATTGTGTTGCAAGTGTCGTAAAACTGACTAAAACCACAACTCATCCTCACCTATGGAGCTAGGGTGTGAAAAAACCCCTAAGACTGACAGTCTCAGTCTCAGTCTACAGACTAAAGCTGGCCTAAAAATGGTGACTGCTGGCACTTGCAGTTTTTGTTTTGTTTTAGCGTTGGGTGTTTTATTTTGTTTTTGGTTGTTGTTTTTGAAAACAAATAAGCATTCATCATGTTCTCATTCTCAGTGGGTGGTTGACAGGTGTTACGGTGTGATTTGCTCCTTCTTTCCTGTCAATCATCTATATCCTTATCTCTCCTCCTTTCATATCAATTATCTATATGTCCTTATCTCTCCTCCTTCTTTCCTATCAATCATCTATATGTCCTTATCTCTCCTCCTTCTTTCCTATCAATCATCTATATGTCCTTATCTCTCCTCCTTCTTTCCTCTCAATCATCTATATGTCCTTATCTCTCCTCCTTCTTTCCTCTCAATCATCTATATGTCCTTATCTCTCCTCCTTCTTTCCTATCAATCATCTATATGTCCTTATCTCTCCTCCTTCTTTCCTATCAATCATCTATATGTCCTTATCTCTCCTCCTTCTTTCCTATCAATCATCTATATGTCCTTATCTCTCCTCCTTCTTTCCTATCAATCATCTATATGTCCTTATCTCTCCTCCTTCTTTCCTATCAATCATCTATATGTCCTTATCTCTCCTCCTTCTTTCCTATCAATCATCTATATGTCCTTATCTCTCCTCCTTCTTTCCTATCAAACATCTATCGTCCTTATCTCTCCTCCTTCTTTGCTATCAATCATCTATATGTCCTTATCTCTCCTCCTTCTTTTCTTTGTATTTTACTCTCTGGTAACACCTCTGATCTTCTACTTCTACACCAACATGACCTAATTGTGTTGCAAGTGCCACAAAACTTACTAAAACTGTTAGTGTAAAAGTAAAACTACATCTTGTCCTCATTTACTATGGAGCCAGGGTGTGAAAAAAACCCAAGACAATCTCAGGCTTACAGTTGGCCTTAAAAATGGTGACTGCTTGCACCTGTAGTTTTTGTTTTGTTTTTGTAAAGTGTTTTACGGCGCTCACAACTACATAAGGTCATATGAGCGCGCGGGACACACCTAATATTTTCAGTTGGTAGGAAATTTTTAATTTTGCCCGGGCGGCGGCCGAAGCCTACTCTTATCAATTTTAGACCACCAAGGGATCTTTAACATGCGCAACTTGCACACGAGCCCTCCGAGATTTTTCGCCCTTGTCTGAGAAGGCTAGGTGTAGATCTTTCCTACCAGAAGATCAGGGGTGTGGCAGAAAGACAGCAGTAAGGAGGAGCCAAGGAGTAGCAGTAGAAAGGCTGCAGAAAGAGTCAGGAGCCCAGAGGAGGGGGCAAAGGAGGTGAGGGGGTGGGGGCAGAAAGTGGTTTTTGTTTTGTTTTAGGGTTGGGTGTTTTATTTTGTTCTTGTTTTGTTTTTTAAGGGGTTGTAGCTATGATCAACACCCAAAGGCTATAGTTTTTTTTTGGTCTAATGCTTGCTTTTCCTCATCAAAGGGTGAGACATAGTACAAAACAAGGTTACCAAGCAAAAAATTCAAGATTTTAGCCATAATTTATTATAATCTTGAGCCATCAAAAATAAAGGATTAATTCAGCGATTTTTAAACCAATGTCAGTATTGACAGTCATTGACACTCATCAAGATAGAAGCCTAATATTTGGCATGGTGATTACTGTTGGTAGGTAGAATGACCTTATAGAGCCAAATTTGAATTTTCTTAACTTAACTTGTGAGCTTTACAGTCCTTCTTATGCACAACATTCAGGTCTAAAAAATTATAATACTGTATTTTGTAAAATAAAAAAGGCTTAATACTCCAAATGTGTACCATAAACAGCAAAAATACTTCTGTAAGGTCATAGATAAATGTGTATAAAAGATAGTGTGCAAATTTGAATAAATTCTGAAAGTAACTTTCTGAGACCTACTCAAAATAGTGTGGCAACCTGATCAGATAAACAATTCTGAGAAAACTGCAAAGAGAGATAATTTTTTTTAGAAGATTTTCCTAAATTGCTTCCTCTCTCAAGTGCATTTTCCAGCTATCTATAAGTTTGATAAAGAAATTAGGCTTCTAAAGATGGATACTTGATATAGATATCTATAAAAAGATACTCCAGATTTCGAAAAATAATATTTTGTTCATTATTTATACTGATCTGAGCAGCGAATCCCCTTAAGGGGGGGGGGGGTTGTCTTTATTAAATAAGACATTCACTTGTATACAAAGGACCATCTCCCTGACGTTTTTTTTTCCTATTGTAAAGGTGTTCACCTATTTCAGGTGACTTCTTTTCTCCTTGACAATGGCAGCCATCTTGGACAAGTTTGACCGTATGTCGACCGAGTTGTGCTCTAATTGGTTTATTGAACATTTTTCTTAGAGAAAAAAAAAACACTGTTCCCGTCATTTTATGCAAGAAAAATTCTGAAATTCTGCAAACTGAGCCCAATAATGTGAAATTATGCGATTCTGTTAATTTTAACAAAGAATGATTAAGGAAAATTATCAGAAATTATGCAAAAAATGATCAAACTTTGCTAAATTATGCGGGGTGCATAAAACCACGGGGACAGAACAAAACAACAACCCAAAAACCTTATTTAAATAATGACAGAAGACGCAAACATTTTGGATACTATTTATAGCTCTTGTCAGGGTTCCTACCATGAACTGCCCGCCAAATTCAAGGAGATTTCAAGGAGAAATTTTTAAAATTCAGGCAGATTTGGTCAACAAATTCATGCCATTTTTTATGGCGCACTCGCACCCCGGCGAGTCCAATCCGGCGAAATTCAAGGAGATTTTTCCTTGAATGCTGCAAATTCAAGGAGTTTTCAAAGGAGATTTTTCAAGGAGATTTTTTCTGGAAAGCAACAAATTCAAGTTTTCAAAGGAGATTTTTCCTTTAATGCAAATTCAAGGAGTTTTTATGGAGATTTTTCCTTGAACGCAAATTAAAATTTTTTCCTTTAATGCAAATTCAAAGAGTTTTTAAGGAGATTTTGAGTTTTTAAGGAGGGCAATTCAAGGAATTTTTCCTTGAATGCAAATTCAAGGAGTTTTTAAGTTTAAGGAGATTTTGAGTTTTTAAGGAGAAATTTTTAATTTTTCCTTGAAAATAAATTTAAGGAGTTTTTAAGGAGATTTTTTCTTGAATGCAAATTCAAGGAATTTTTCCTTTAGCATTCAAGGAGTTATTAAGATTTTTCCTTGTATGCAAGCAAATTCAAGGAGTTTTAAAGGAGATTTTCCTTGAATGCAAATTCGAAGAGCTTTTAAATATAAGGAAATTTTGCGTTTTTAAGGAGAAATTTTTCTTTGAATGCAAATTCAAGGAGTTTTCAAGGAGATTTTTTCTTGAAAATAAATTCAAGGAGTTTTTAAGGAGATTTTTCCTTGAATGCAAATTCAAGGAGTTTTTAAGGACTCTTTGATATCAAGGAGGCCACAGGAGCCCTGCCTTGTGAAACGGGAACTACATTTTCAAAACCAACACGAGACACTCATTCTGTATGGATCCATGACAGTTTTTATTGTAATTAGTCGACAATGGGTGTTTGTTCAAAAAATGAAAAAACTGTTAATTGAT